TATCCAGAATCTGGAAGAGGGAGTTCTATTGCTGCCGGTTAAAAGGGATGCTACTGTATTTTGCACTTTAGCTTAAGGCTGCAGTTCTTTTAGAGTAATCAGCCTGAAAAATGCATGATGTGAATATACTGCAATCAGTATAGCTGTTTACTAAGAAGCATGCTGGAAAAGGAGAACAATTATAACTTATTTTGGTGAAGTTATGAAACCAGCAGACATTCATCAAACATAACGGTATAATTGTGCCTTACTTCAGCACCTTTAGGCGTAGGCTTGTGTAGAGGACACATTTATGCAAAACGTTTAGTACAAGTAATGATACAGTGTCTTATGAATGGTAATTCTTTTGCTTAGGTCTTACATTATATCTATAGAAAATTATGTTAAGATAATGACTTAAAAATTTATGTACACTTAACTTCAATGATGCAGAATAGATCACTTCTGAAAATGATCTGCTTTCCTCACCAAGTGTACTTGAAAGCATTTCCCGAATTCTAGAGTACATTTCTCAAAATGTTAACACAGATAACTTGAATCTCTTGGTATATGGTGAGTTTGAGTTCTTTAGTTACACAATGTTTAATTTTATACCATTTATCCTTCAAGAGTCCCCAAAAAAGAAATGGGCAAGAGGTAGTGTAGGAAATTTAAATAGACAGTGTTTTCATATTCCAAATGTCAGATGCGTAAAACTGAAACCTTTGGCTTCTCAAATCTCCCATTTCAACACATATCAGTTTTTTCTTATCTTTAATCTTTTAAAGTTTAAAGATAAATTTAAAAAAGCTTTTAAAGTTTATCTTTTTCTCAACTTTACCTTTTAAAGGGTGTAAAAATATATCATGTATAATCAAAGGACTTAAAGATTTTATATGCCAAGAAATTCAATCTATTAACATCAGTACTTTGAGTATTTGAGCATTTAGACAATTGCATTCAAGTCTATTTGGATGTGAAATTAACCAGTTTAATAGTTGTTATGATATGAAATAATTTAAATAGCATGTACCTTTTATTGTTTTAAATTAATATTCTTCTGTTTTTTTTTTTTTTTTTTTTTTTTTTTTTTTTTTTTTTTTTTTTCCCACAGATTTCTTCTTTAAGTTAAAGTAAGTCTTTATAAAATGTGTGTCTGATAGCCTATTTGCAAAGTTATTTTAAAACCAAAGAAGTATGACTGCATTATGGTGACACATTTAGTATACCACATGGAAAGAAATGGGTTATATTTCATTAGATGAATTGTTGGGAACATTAATATGAAAACTGATAATTTTATGTTTCTAGTTGACTTCTACAATTCATATTCCTTTGTATAGTGGTATAAAAGATAAGTTTCCCAATAACTGTTTTCTATGAAAAGTGATCTATATAGTTTGTCTGATACACTGCAAATTGGCAAAAAGGAATTTTAATATTACTGATTTTAGTTTTAAAAAATGTAATTTATTTAAATAAATTAATTAAAAAATGCAAATGCATGGGGGTTTTTTTTTTTTTCTTTTTTTTTTTTTTTTTTTTTTTTTTTTGGTTTAAAGAATATATATATGCTGCTTGCCCTTAACTTTTGCCTATTATTGGTATCCTGGAAATGTGTGCAAATGCTGAATGTTCGAAAGTGGAGGAAGGTAAAAGAAAACATTAAAAATTGTATTTTAAAATATTTATTTATCAGTGTACATAATTAAGATAACAAGGCATGTTTAAGCATTTTCAGATGGTTTCATTATTAAAATTGTCAAAAGTTAGTTAAATACCACCATCAGCTTCTTCCTCCCTTTCATAGTGTATTCATGTTCCTCAGTTAAGTATTCAGTTGACAGAAGGTACTGAGTGAGATTCAATGATGTCTAAGTTAAATTCATTTATTAGGCTAACTATTTCATCTCCATTTCATCCAACATTTTCATAGTTTCCAGAGCTTCTTCAGAATTAGTAAAATCATGCATTTGTAGGCATAATTGTTTCCAGGAACCTTTCATTCTTGACTCTTTTATTTTAGCCCACAAGTCTCCAATATTGTCTGCTGCATTCCATATGTTTTAGGCTTTCAAAAATCTCTTAATGTAGGTTCACTTCCCTGCCAGGCTTGATTCATTATTGTCATATAATATCATTTAAATGTAGCTATTACTTACTTGATCCATGGGCTGATAGTACTGGGAAGAAGAAAAATAACAGTGATTTCTGGATATAGGTTCTACAGAGATCTTTAGCTGTCCTGGAGCATTCTCTAAGATTATTAATGCCTTAAATTTTTGCCTTTACAATATTGCTTGACTGCTGATATGAAATGAAAAATGAACTAATAATTAAATATAAATGTAGCAACCAGCTCGACAGCTTGTCTTTCTACTTTTTGGAGGCTTAAAGAAAATGCTTATGCCATTACATTTAAAGTTTTGTACAGTTATACATTATTATTTTCATTTAACATTTATTGCTAATATGCTCACATGGACTATTTCTCAGCTGAGGTTGGGTCTTGAACCTGAGAACTGCAGTTGATGCACTGTTCATATCAACTTAAGTGGGAGTGATTTCATGGAAGCAAACAATTTTTGCAGTATCAACAAAGATCTTTAAAAAAATTGAATTGCAAAAGTTGGAGGTCTGCTTGTATATGTATGAATATATACACTCTGTTTCAAAAAAGTATATGCATGCAGAAAGAACTGAGCCACAATTATGAAACTCTGCAGTAGTATAGTGTGTGAGTAGGTAAACAAATGTTCAAAAGCTGGGGCTAAAAAGCATTTCATTTATCAGTATCACTACAAAGAATGTGAAAATCAGTAGACGATAAAGCCAGCCCTGGCAGCTATACAAACCAATTCTCGGTTGGGCATGGAGTCTATTAAGTCCCTTTGTGGCATACTGTGCCACAAATGGAGCAACTGGTCAAGGAGTTTGAGCATGTTTAAACACGGCTGAATTGGCCTGTCCAACATGTCCCAAAAATGTTTTGATAGACAACAAGTTTGAAGATCTGCCAAACCAGTCAATTTTTGGAAAAGTCATGCAGTATGTGACTGAGCTTCGTCCTGCTGGAAAACAGAACCTGGATGACCTGCTGGCATAGGCAGTATGATCAGCTGTAAAATGGCATTAACGTACCTGCGAGCAGTACTGTAAGAGTACCTCGTAGCACGATCAGTAGTGAACAGCTGTCTCATATGATCAGTTCTCAGACTTGTGTGTCATTTGGTAACAAATAGTACACTAAACTGCTCACCTTTCCATCTCTAGACACGTATGTGGCGGTCATCAGCATTGAGAGAAAAGCATGATTCATTGCTGAACATCACATTTCTCAAATTGGACATTGTCCGTCTTGAGAAAGAGCGTCACCATGTAAGGCAACACTACTTATCGTGAAGTATCAATGGCAGGCATCTTAAAGGATGTCAAGATCTGAGCCCAGCATCACCTAATCTGCTGTGAATCATAACCCTGGATATCCCAAAATTCCTGCGAATTGGCAAATGAAGTTAAATCGATGATAGCCTAACTATTGGTGCGGATGGGGCAGCTCTTATAATTTTGTGACCATCTCGTGCATTTGTAACCAGGGGATATCCCAAGCCACTATGGTGGCGTAGATAGGATTCAAGCACCTGGGGACAACTGAAGAATTTGCGCCTCTTTCTGTGTGCCAAGAATGGAAAATATTTCATTAAAAAATTTCGTAGCATCAATTTGGCCCTGCTTGGACGCTGCGCCTGTCCCCTCTTGCCCCACCCTAGCTACGCCACTGGTTTCAGCAGCGGACAATGCTTCAACCAATATGGCGGCTGATCCGCCTGCTTGATCAGCTGGCGTCTTTTAGTCCTGTTATGCAACTCCTCTCAAAGTCTGACAAATGTTCGTAATGCTATCTTATACAACATAAAGGCATCTTTTGTTACAATATTCGTTACATGTTTCAAAGCCATCAGCACAGTTGTAAATGCTTGTCATTTACCGCACCTGCCTTTGTACATTCTACCAGCTGCCAACTTCTGACACATCATCATATCTCTCCACAGTGATGACTGGTGCTGCAAGATTAATCATTTGGACAACTCTACAAACCACATTTGCATACTGTTTTCGTTGTTGTAGCTCAATTTTTTCTGGATGCATTTTTTTTTGGCAACAGTGTGTGTATATATAGAGGGAGAGAGAGAGACAGGATAAATAAAATTTATGAAAAGAATTTAATATACCCATTAAAATATTTATTAGTTGCATAAAGTATGTTTCAAAAATAAGGAATTGTAGAATTTTGTTTTAAACATAACACAGTTCTGAAGGGCATTATATATACAGTCAAAAGTCGTTAATTCGGACACCCATAATCCGGAATGATCTATAATCCGCACCTCAAAGCTACAAACTTTCTGCACATGCGTCGCGTCGCATATGCGTAAAGGTCGCAGAAGACCTTTACGGCTGCGAATATGCATGTGCGCGTGCGCAAAATACGTTTACGAATGCGCGTTTAATGTATAACGGACGGTATAAACTAAGCTAAAAGTATCTAATTCAGTTAATGTTGCAGATTGCGTTGTTCCTTAATCTTCGAATTGGATTCGGCTTATTATTTTTTGCAGACTGTTAGAGCAATTTTATAAAAGTAAGCTTGAACTTTCGATTATGTCAAATAGAATTTCTGATATATATTTACTAATATGTAAAGGATCTACAAAGCGAAAGTATGTTTCGAAGTCCATTAAACAAAAAGTGGAATTGCTGCAAAAAATGGATAAAGGCATATCCTTTGTTTATCTTTAACGCCGCACGCAATTAACGACTTTTGACTGTAAATATGTAATTTGCTTAGTAACTTTATTTTGAAATTATGTAATATTTATGTTTAAATTCTTAAACAAAAAAAAAAAAAAAATGTGCTAAAGTGTGCATGCATCAATTTGTGAATGCAGTTAGCATGATTTTTTTTATGTGCAAATTATCCTCTTTTTTTTTTTTTTTTTTTTTTTTTTTTTTTTTTGTAGGCAAACATTAGATGACTTTTCTGCTGAACACTGTATAAAATTTAATTTTGAACCTTGTTGCAGTTAGCTTTTTCCAGATTTCTGCTTATGGCGAATGCTATTTCAAATAAAGTGCAGGTTTCAACTGTACGAACACTGAGATCTAGAACCACTGTGAAAATAGAATTTCCTCCTGAAAATTCAAATGCTGAGGGAAAAGTGAATATATTAATGCAGAACTCAAAAATAAAAGGTAAAAAAGGTGTTAAAACTGAGAAAAAATTGTGTCTAAAAAATGAATTATTAGACACCAATAAGGATTCATTAGAAACTGCTTCAAAGTGTAAATTAGAAATTCCAGGAGTTCCTCAAAAATCAAGTATATCTCCAAGGAAGAGAAGGCAGCCTAAAATGGAAGAAAATAAAATTTCAAAAATAAAGAAAGAAATAAAGGTTGAAAATTCAGAAAATCAGGTTTTGGCTGATATAGAGGATAGTGCTTGGGAACCTTCTAATTGGAAATTGGTTTTGGATAACATTTTAAAAATGAGAAAGATGTATGTAGCTCCTGTTGATAGTTTAGGCTGTGAAGAATGCCCTGAAGAAGGTGCTACACCTGAAGTAAGCTTTATTTTAGTATATTTTTCTTCAGTTTTTTTCATCTGAATAAAAACAGAATTTTATTAATTAATGAATGTTAAAAGTTAATTTTTTGTTTGATTTTAATTATTAAATTGATTGAATATTATGAAAATTTTAATATAGCTGTCTTTGTTTCTGAGAATTTTATAAACAATAACTTTATTATCAACATTTCACTTCTCAAAGATTTTTTTCACTACATTTTATGAGCACTTCCTAATGATATTTAATATTCATATAAGTATTCTATTGATTTGTTATATTTCATTTGGTTTATTGAATATTTATAATAATTTGTTCAAGAATAAATTAATTAATTTTTAGCTTCATTTTTGAGAATTTATTTCTGTTTTTATTAGTTTTCATTTAGGTTTAGTTAAATATGGAGTCACATCTTTTAAAATAAAAATTTAACTTAATTTCAAAATAAATAAATATGTATGAATATTTTTTCTTATCAATGTGAAACATTTGTTTGGTAATATATTCTTGCCATGACTACTCATCTGACTGACAAAATACATGTTGATAATTATGCCTTTACACTTAAGGAATAAATGATAGCAATTAATTAGTTTGTAAAGCAAGCTATTTCTATATTTTCATTCTAAATTTTGAGTAATTTTAGAAGAGAAGGAAATGTTTAAGCTGTCAATAAACTAAAAATTCCAGGTAATAAATGAGTGGAAAGTACTAATTGGTAACTAATTAATAAAAATACTAAAATTACACATAACATATAATATGTATGACGTACATACATAATACTAACATATAATAAACTAAAAATTCTTAATTGGTAATAAATGAATGGAAAGTGCTAATTGGTAATTAATTAATAAAAATACTGAAGTTATGCATAGCATATAATTAATGAAAATACTAAAATTGCATGTAACATAATAAAAGCTAAATAATGTATTTTATTCATTAGTAATATTCTGCAATTAATTCATCCATCAGTTAATCTAAATTTCTGAAGGAGAAAAGATCATCAAAGTTAATGAAAATCAGACATCTAAATATGAGCATATTACTAAACTGTGTTTAAAAAGAAATTAATTAACTGCTGCACATTTTCAGTTTATCTTGTGATTTGGAAAGTTTTATCAAAATTTTATTAAGATTAACATTAAGCGAAATTTCCTTAATACATATCACAACTTTCTTATCTTTTTAACAAAAAGAACATACCACTGAACTAAGTGTTAAAGAAACTAATAATAAGCAATAGATGATGCTAGAAATAATATAATAATAATGTTAGAAAATGAAGCTACTTTTGCCATCTTTTGACCAAAAAGTGAATAAAAAATAATTAGAAAACCAATTTTTGAAAAGCTGGCAGTAAAAAGAAAATTGAATTAGGATTAATAACTTTTTCACTTATGATGAATGAATCTGTAATATTGCAAATATAATCATGTTATGTTAATTCTTAGTGTTTGTTTATAGTTTTATAGCATTTTGTCTTCTTCATAGACACATTATTTTTCTAGTTGAAGGTCGTTTTCTCTTAATTGTTAGTGAGAGTCAAGCAAGTTTCAAATAAAATTCTGTGTAACAAAGTTATTTTAACTGATTACCTTATTTCTCCATGTTTAAGACACACTTTTATTTCTTTAAAACTTATATGTCTGAAAACTGGGTTTGTCTTGTACAGTGGTCGCAATAACTAAAGGTAAAAGACTGTTGATGAAACGTATGCAGCGTGCATGCTGAACCTGTTATAATTTGCCGAGGAATGGCTCAGAAAAGATTATCATACAGTGTTTAATTCAAGTTAGAAGGGATCCAGTTTGTAAAAGTGAATGGAAATTGTGGTGCTGAACATAAGTTTGGAGCTCCTTCAACTGAGAAAACAATCTGAGACTGGCTACAAGAATAAGATACCCTACTGAAGAGGCTACAGTTGAAGAATACCATGAGAGTCAAGTCAGCAAAATGGCCTGATATAAAGAGGAAATTAACCGTATAGATAGTCATCAGAATTTCTGTGTCCACAAATATGAATCAGCATGAGGCAAAAAAAATTTCCCATGAAAACGAGTTACAGATTTCAAAGGAAAACACAAATGGTACTTTAGGTTCAGGAAATGAAATGGACTGAGCATGCATACACACACCAGACTTGCCCAAAAGATACCTGAAAGCTGTGAGCAGAAGGTCATTGAACGTCATTCTTTTGTCATTCAGTGTTGGAAAACAGATCTGAGTTGGGACAAATTGCAAATATGGATGAAGTTCCCCTTCAGTATGATGTCCTAAGTAACAGAACTGTTGATAAGAAAAGGGTGAAGACTGTAAATAGGAAGACATGTAGACACGAAAGCCGTTATACAACTGTTCTAGCTTGTTTTGCTGATGGAACCAAGCTGCCATCTATGCTGATTTTCAAATACAAAACAATGCCAAAAGAAGTCATTGTGATTGTTCATGTTCATGGCAAGGGTTGAGAGAATCACCGTGGGAAAAAAGATATGGTTTGAGAAAGTTTGGAGCAAAAGACCATGTGAACTCTTTCATAAACATGCTCTATTGGTGCTTGGTCAATTCCTGAATTGAGGTAGGGGGAAAACATTGCTGCAGACCAGCTAATAAAATTTACTATCATACTTGAAGCTTGATATCCCAGCTTCAACCTCTTGAATTTAGCATTAACAAACCCTTCAAAGCTGCTTTCAAAGAAGAATAGGACAAATGGATATATAAGTCTACTGTGGACAATTTGACATTTGGAGTGAAGAAGTGAGTTATAGAAAATGCACACTACAGAAGTTTTTTTTATACTTGGGTGAGAAAATCCTGTGTTAATATCTAGATTAAGATTGTTATCAAGTCGATTAAAAAGTGTAACTTCTCTAATTCCACAAATGGAATTGAGGAACTATGAATATATGAAAACAGTGATTCGTCATCAGATGCAGGTAATAACAGATACAGATGGTCATCAAATAGATCCACCTAATGAGTGACACTCAGATGATTGTACAGTGATCCCTCGTCTTTCATGGTTAATGGGGACCAGAATCTTCCACGAAAGCTGAAAAAGCGCAAAGAAGGATTTTCCCCTAGGAACTTTCTTGTATGCGGATACAAGAATGTTTTAAATATATAAACAGTATTTACTCTTTACACATTTAAGACAAAAATTACAACAGTACATGTATTTACTTAAACGTGTCAGTGCTAATTAATAGGGTTAATTAAAAAACCTAATACAGTAATAAATTAATCAACATTGCTGCTTTATGAGAGAGGCAAAGAGTGTTATGTTGGTGGCGGAGGAGAGGCTCCCACTTGACTCGTAGATGCTTTAGGCTCGCTCGGAGACTCTTCTGCTGGAGGTGCTGACTGTAGAGCTTTACCTTAGAGAGAAATATGGTGATAAGAAGTTGTTGTCTTTGTTTTTTCTTTTCCTTCAAAATTCCCTGTACAAGGACATAACCCCATCAACACGGTTGCTGAACTCGACAGCTCAAACCATATTGTCTCTTGCCATGTTGCACAATTGTTGCAGATTCTCCAGGGTAAGGCCACGCTTTTCAGTTTCTTCTTCGTCTTCCTCTTCATTTTGCAGACTTTGTCATCTGAAGGAGGTCTTCATCGGTCAGTGGGTCTGAGTGGCAATCGATAAGAGCGCTGATGTCTTCTTTTGACATGCCGACAAATCCTTCATTCCTTTTTATGTGAGTCAGCCTCACCGCTGAGTGATGAACTTCTTCAGGAGTGAAACCTGGATAGTCATGCACCATGTTCTGCCATAATTTATTCCAACTAGAATTTATGGTCTCGATCTTCATGTCCTTTCATGCTCGCTGAATATTAGACAAACATGAGGCAATGTCATAACTGCACCAGTATGCTTTCAAGGTGAATTCGTCATTGGCATCATTAACTGCCGAGATGAGGCCCTCCATCGTGGAGTGAGTGCCCTAAAGGCACGAATGACACCTTGATCCATCGGCTGAATTAGAGACGTAGTGTTCAAGGGCAGAAACTCTATCTGCACACCGTCATATTGCAGGTCTGTTGCATGGCCTCCTGCACAGTCCATCAGGAGAAGGACCTTAAAGGGGAGGTCTTTTTCAGCCAGCTACAGCTTCACTTGGGGAATGAAGCAAAGGAGGAACCATTCAAGGATCAGAGCTTTCTTTATCCAGGCCTTGGAGTTATGCATCCAGAACATGGGCACAATGCTGTATCGCATAGTGTCTACATAAGACATGCAATGTCATAATTATGTAAATATGTATATGCACAGCACTATTTATTCGTGCACTGCAGTAATTTAGTTGCAACCGCCTTCTCACATGTAGTGTATATGTACTAGCCCTGCATGAAATCTCCCCCAAGCTCACTTGCGTAATTACAGGAATAATTATTATGTTCTATGCGTAGCTATATGCAATGTCACTTCCGATAAAGTAAATACAATGTTGAATATGCATAATGTATTTGTAAACGTAATGTCAATTAATGTTCAGTATAATTCCTTAATTGCTTCATAAACTGTAATATTAATGTCAATTTTGTATCGTATAATGTACATATTGTTGAACTTCTAGACTGCACCGAATAATAATAGGTAAAATCAAGAATATGCAATATGCATATGTATAGCATATATCATATACTTACTGCAGCAATTTAGATGTAGCTGCCCTTTGAACACCAGTAGTGTATATGTACAAGCCCCTGCAAGTAAGCCCTCCCAAGCTCACTGGCAAAATTGCCGGAACATTCATAATGTTCTAATACGTAACCTAGCAAAGTCACTCCTGACAACGTCATATCAATGAGGAATATGCGTAATGCATTAATTACAAATGTAACGTCAAATAATATTAAGTGTGATATCATTCTTTGCCCATTAACTGATAGATGATATGCCCATCTCGTATCGAGTAATTTTTTAATGCCCGTGGATTTTTGGCTTTATAAATAATGCCTGGCTTAAGCATAAAACCTGCAGCATTGCCAGCCATGATGACAGTCGCACAGTCTTTGTGAGCCTTGAAGCCTGGCCTCTTCACTTCGTTCTTGAAGAGGAATGTTCGCGAAGGCATCCTCTTGCAAAAAAAAAAAGGCATGTTTCATTCATGTTGAAAATTTGTTCAGGGAGGTATCCTCCCTCTCCGATGAAGTTAGCAAACTCTTTCCAGTCACGTAACGACAAGCAGCTTTATTGTCAGCAGAGGAAGCCTCACCATACAGAAGCAAGTTTCTGAGGCCGTATCTTTTTGAAATTTTTCGAACCAGCCTTTGCTGGCTGAAAAGCCTCTTCCTCGAGAAGGCGAATCACTCCTGACAGTGCTATTACTGGCGTGAGGTACGTCAGCACCTTCTTCAGCCTCTTAATTATCGTCATTGGGCAAAATTTGGTCGTAGAGTGCTTTGTCCTGACCATATTAGTGTCCAAACTGACTGTCTTTTTCCTGCAATCAGCAATCCAAATGCCAGTGCAGCTTCCATTTTCCCAATTCTGTTATTACGCAGAGTTACCACGTGTTTCGTTTCTTTATTGAAGCAGTTTTGCGGATGTTTGCTTCCTCTTTCTTGATGTACCACATTGTAATTCATTCACCCTGTAATGGCATGCCACAGATGCATTACTTCTAGTGCCGCATATCGCAAAGTTTCCCTTTTTAGCGATGGTCTTCTTAATTGGGCGATCCCGGAAAATTGATAATATAAGGGCTTAATTGATAAAAAAAAGTTATCGCTTAAACAAAAAAAGTTACATAATACAGTATGTGAGACAGTCAACATCATGGACGAAACTGGCAAGATACAACAAGAGAATACAGGTTTCGTAGCAGTCCTTACAAGTGCTTATAAGTCCTTATAAAAAAAATAAAATATAAAGGCCCTTATAGGTGCTTACTTTTTCTTTAAAGCCCTTATTTTATTTATTTTTTAGTGCCTTTCTTTTTCTAATGAACATGCATTTTTTCTCCGCACCAAAACCGAAACTAAATAAACAACTTTTCTTAGATGGAACTTCAGATGGTGAATCATACTCCCGGAAATAGTTTTTCCCACTTTCTCTGCATTAATGTAACCTTTGGTGCGGATGAGAGTACAGACAGGTGCACGTCATTCTATTGGTCAAAGAATTGCGAAAGCGGTAGAAAATTCCAGTACATTCGGTATTCTTTTCCTCCCACCAAAAAATACTACACATGTTTGAATTTCTATCAAGATTAATACTTTGAATTCTCTTCCTCGTGGTCAATTCATATTCGCATTTATTATGATCGTTATGCTTATATTATGAGCATATGTATGAATATTTATAATAATATAGTTGCAGTAACTGCTGAAGTATAGATAAACTTCCAGAAATGGGTAAGTGTGTTTTAACAGATATTAGCTTTCTGAGGAATAATATTCAGAATGGTTTAAAGGAAAAGTAATCAAATAGTCAAAATAATTTTTTTTTTCTCTCAATTCATTATACAGTACGGAAATTGGGAGGTTCTCCCTTTTCTCCGCAAAATCGCGAATATTAAAACCGTAACAGTTCGCTGCAAAACAAGCAACGGAATTTTTTTTTTTTTTTTTTTGTCACTTTCTAATCTGGATTGAATAGGATTAAAAGTTCTGCGGTCTACCAACCCAAGCGAAGAATGATTCTATTCCCGAAATTTAACGCAGTCTGTTCAAAATTAGAATGAAAAATCACCCAGATTATTAAGTATCTTTCTTTTCCTTTATTTAGTTCTCTATTCTCCGAATACCGGCAGCTGTTGATTCCGATTGCGAAATATCACGTAAGGAAGAATTACGACGCACGTATTGGGCAATAATGTTTGCGATATTTTGCAGAGATAATTAATTTTGATGTTCAAGGAGATTTGTTTATGAACATTTAAAAGAGTTTTACTATTCAGCCTAAAAATCTAAAGAATGGCTACAATTTACCCCCTACCCCGCGCTTCTCTTTTTCCCAGTCAGCTCAACTCTCCGAAATATTTGGCAGTTTTCGAGTATGCAGGTTAGTAAAACTTTTACTGTTAAAGAATGTCTGCCTGAAAAAATTTCCCGTCTGCTGATTTCAGAAATGTTTCTCTTTTTTATTTAACTTACTTTGCTTGCAATATCTGTTAAGGGAAAACTGGTATACAATGAAAATTTAGATAATGTTCAGAATTTTGATTTAAATTATTTAAATATTAATATGAGTGGGAAAATAAAATGTATTTATTATTAGATGCCAAGCGAATACAAATATGGCTTATTATTATTTGTTTTCTCTATTTTGAACTAAAATTTCATCATTAAATCTTGTAATATAGTTTAGTTCTGCATAGTTTTTTTCTCTCATTGTAAACTAGTTCTGTAAATTCAACTTTTATTTAAAATTTTAAAAAAAAAAGTTATTGTTTTCAATGGCTGAGGTTAATACTCATTCACTCTTAATAAATATTGCATTTCTTATATTTTAAATTACAAGTCTAATTTTTCTTTTAAGGTTATGCAGTAGTGTATAATGTAATTAGACAGGTGCTTATTTTTTTTCTTAAAATGTGCTTGAAAAGTGCTTATAGGTGCTTATTTTTTTTAAACTAAAATGTGGCTACGAACCCTAGAATATGCTAGGTGAGGCTGCGATAACGCGCAGACAATCAACTCACACGAATAAATCCACTTGTACTCACACTGGTTGATGTCGCACCAGAAACCAATCATATCAGTATGTATACCAATTTGAAATGTGTCACGTTCAGTTAGATTATTACTGTAGGCATACTTGTTGCCAGTGTACAGCTTACATATTAAAGCTGTGTGCTTAATGCTGATATTAAGTTTTTATATTATTACTTACGGAAACATCTATTTGGATTGTCTTCGTATACTTTTATTAATTTTTCTTTATTTTGGGTAGAAAATGTTTGGCAATTACTTCTAAAATAGCTTTGAATGTTCCCCCCCCCCACCTTTAGCTACATACATTAAATTCCACTTTTTGTTTGTTGGACATCGAAACATACTTTCGTTTTGTAGATCCTTTGCAAGTTCTAGCATCAGAAATTCTATATCAATTTTTTTATATATCATATATTTCTGTTTTGGCTCGTTATTATTCGGTAATTATGACGTCATTATTTGGTAAGTATTTTTTTCTTCGATATTTCATACTCAATGTTGCGGTTTTCGGAACCTATAAACTGAATGTTTATATTCTGAGGCAACGCGGATTTCAGGTTGCCGGATTTTCAGTATTTGACTGTACTACCGAATCCACTGAGGTGGCAGAACACAGCCACCCCCCCCCCCAAGTACAGTCAAAAGTCATTAATCCAGACTCGTCAGGACTTCGGCGATTCCGTATTATCGATTTTTCCGGATTATAGATCATCAGTTTAAATCTCGTAAGATGGCATGCAGAAATTCTAAAATTAAAAATATGAAACCGTAATTTATGAAATAAAGAACAATTATGATCTAAAGGGTATTAAAATTTACAAAAAAAAAAAGCTTAATATTTATTTGTGTACTTTATTAAACATTTCTTTCAATGTAAGTTGTTTAAGTTGCTTCGTTTTATGTGATAATACTTTCTCTTTAATTCTATAAACAGACAATTTCTTGTTCAGTTACAAAGTTCCGCTGTTCAAGTCCCGTAATTGCTGTGCCGAGAATACCGACTAACTCATCAATCGAAATTTTTTCGTTTTCACTAACCTCTCTGTTACCTTCTTCATGTCTTTATCCATTTTTTGCAGCAATTCCACTTTTTGTTTGATGGACATCGAAACGTACTTTCGTTTTGTAGATTCTTTGGGAGCTCCAGCATCGAAAATTCTATTCAACATAATCGAAAGTTCAAGTTTACTTTTATAAAATTGCTCTTACAGTCTGCAAAATATAATAAGCTGGATCCAATTCGAAGATTAAAGAACAACGCAATCATCAACATTAACTGAAATAGATAATTAGATAATTTTAGCTTATAACGTTCGTTATACATTAAATGCACACGCGTGAATGCCTATGCTCATGTGTCAACGCGGCGCATGCGCAGAAAGTTTTTAGCTTTGAGGTCCGGATTAAGGGTGTCCGAATTAATGACTTTTGACTGTATAAGCTTTCAGTCTCTATGACTAGTTTTTTTTTTTTTTTTTTTTTTTCATTTTAATGATTCTGCATCACATAGACACATGTATCTCCTAAATAATTGTTCCACTCTACAACACCATGCATTCTTATACATATATATTTGTTGTAAAATGATACATTCTGGTAATTATATTTTGTTTAATATTTTATATTTTTTTAGGTCTTTCGATACCAGACTCTAATATCAGTTATGCTGTCTAGTCAAACACGAGATCAAGTCACTTATGCTGCTACACAACGCTTAATTGAGCATGGTTTAAATGTTGACAATATATTGAAAACACCTGATGAAAAAATTGGTGAACTCATTTATCCAGCTGGTTTTTGGAAAGTAAGTATGGTTTTTATTACATATAAGGAGTATTGAAAAGTATTGTTCATGCTTGAAAGTAACTGTTATAAAACAGCAGTTTTGTAGCAACTGTTGATGTGCATCTTTGAAAGAAATCTAAACACACAAAGTAAATAAGCATTTGCAACCAAAGGTTGGCAGATGTAATGTATCATGTATATGGATAATAGTTACATGTAGCATGGAAACAGTTTTTAAGTTATATATCATAATGAAAAATATAACATATCATTATATGTGATATTTGAGGCTCTTTTGAACATAAATATCCTATCACAGTGTTATACATCATATGCATATATCACTTTGTACCATGTTTGTGTGAGAGAAGACAGAATGCGAGCATAGTTGATGCATCCATTCAAGTAAGTAATGACAGCATTAGGCTCCCAATAGAATTGTTACTTTAATTACAGTACAAAGTCTTTAATCTGGACATCCATAATCTGGAATGATCTATAAGCTACAAACTTTCTGCGCATGGTCATAATACCTTTAGGCATGCGCGTAATACGTTTACGCATGCGCATTTAATGTATAACGCACAGTATAAGTTAGGCTAAAATTATCTAATTATCTATTTCAGTTAATGTTGCAGATTGTGTTGTTCCTTAATCTTCTAATTGGATCCGGCTTATTATTTTTTGCAGACTGCAATTTTATAAAAAGTGAAGCTTGAATTTTCGATTATGTCAAAAAGAGTTTCTGATTCTGGAGTTGCCAAAGGATCCAGAGAGCGAAAGCATGTTTTGATGTCCATCAAACAAAAAGTGGAATTGCTGCAAAAAATAGATAAAGGCATATCCTTTGTTTCTCTAACCATTCCGAAATCTGTTTATCAATTTCACTCTGCTCTGGGGGAGGGACGTTGCGGCGTGCAATGAACTGGGAGTTGATCTGTCAGCACTATCCTCATCTTCAGAGCAGATGCTTTTATTTTATTCGGCTGATAATTCCTTACTAAATGTAGTATTTCTTCTCGATGTACTCTCTTTGATATGATTTAAATCAAATTCTTCATCATTATAAATATCACGAATACACATCGAATAGTTTTCTGGTCGCAATTTTCTAATTTCAACTATGCGTAATGTATGCTTTACACATGCACGTATTGAAAGAAATGTTTAATAAAGTAAACAAATAAATATTAAGTTTTCTTTCTTTTTTTTTTTTTTTTTTTTTTTTTTTTTTTTTTTTTTTTGTAAATTTTGATACTTTTTAGATCATAATTGCTCTTTATTTCATAAATTATGGTTTCATATTTTGAATTTTATAATTTCTGCATGCCATCTTACCAGATTTAAATTGTTGATCTATAATCCGGAATCGCCGAAGTCCCGATGAGTCCGGATTAAAGACTTCGTATTATATAGTGTATTTCCACTCTTCACAGTAATCTGGTTATTATATAGAGAGAGAACAAAAAATAAATAAATAAAAAAATCTGAAAGGTTTCAGATTTTAAATTTTATCCAAAGGGGCATTTTCTTAACATTTTGTCTGATACCTTTATTTATTAAATATCATGTTCTTCGCAGTTAAACCACAAAATTCAGTTCAAGAGCAATATTGCAAAATAATTTTAAAATGAGCATATCTTTAGAATTTCCGATACACAGTCTCGGGCGCTGGAGATAAAAATGTTTTTCCTGTACAATATTGCCATTGCTTGCTTTGAAATCCTTGAGTTTCTTAATCAAAAATTTGTTAAATTTTGCAAAATATGAAATCGATAATAAAACAAATTTCAAATCTGAGCTTTCAGATGCCAATATTCACAGGAGGATAACGTTATTAGAAATTTGATGGCTCTAGGTACCGTTGTTTTATCACAGTACAAGAAACATACATACATTTATGTAAATTCTTAATTATTTAATTTCTTTAAATGTAATACAGGGCAATAATATTTGGTGGCAGCAATTTGAAAAGTGAAACAACACTTGTAATGAATCAACGCAAAATGCCAAAATGAAATTGATAGTTCTGGGCGAATTGCCCCTTTGGACTGAAAAAGAGGTGTTTGAAAAAGTGTTAGCAATATAACAAATAATGCAATGTCATCGAGGTTTCATTAGTCCAATAAAGTGATGTAAATTAATACTGTAGAATAACTGAGTATCATAGGTAATGGCTTTTGAAATGGTAACACCTAGTGTGATGGATATATGCTTTACCACAATGATGTGTGATGTAAGCAGCGTTTGTAAGGCCTTCCCCACAGATGAATTCTTGTCATCTAAATCAAGCAAAAATTGTGATTTGTTCTGAATTAATTCATATATTCTAATGCATTCTAAGGTTTATGACTGTGACATCACAGTAAGTAAGTGTTTCTATCGATGCTCAGCAGTAAATTGTAGATGTTTTAACAGATGCCAACACCTTCTACATACAAGGCCTGAGCACAAAAGTATGACGTTACAGCAGCAGATCAGTTGCTCATGGCTCTGCTTCTCCTTCACCCTTTTACTTAGTTTTTGCCTTTTTTCTTATTTGTTTCACTTAATATTTAAAATTTATAATTTAGAAAAAAATTCACAGTGGAATTTTAAACTTCAGCCTAATGTATTATTCCAGAAAGACTTAAAAGATTTTTTTTTTATTTTTTTTTATTGCATTGTAAAGTATAGGAAATGAAAACTGATGAATAAAATTGATTTCTAATTTTTTCTCTTTACTGATTATTATTACTACAGGATTAATAAAAACTCAAGCTGTTATTGAATATAGTTAAAAGAATTTATCTTAGATTCTACTGACTAAATAGGTGAAATTTTCCCCATGAAATGATGTTGTAAAATAAATGTCCACAATTTCAGATTTTATAAAGATGTAAAATTCAAAATGAATTTAACCTAATATTAATTTACATAATTTAGTATTAAGTGAAACTAAAACATTTCTTATTTTGCCATTATTCTCTTTTAACCATTCCATTTCAAACCTGATATTCTAATTTAGAGGGCAGTAAAAATTTGCATTGCTACAATAAAAAATGTGCATATTTTTGAAAGAAAAATCGTGATCTTTTCTTGTCCTTAAAAAATTGGTACACCGTTACACTCTATAAAAGTAATGATTTGTTATCAAAGGTAAATATTTTCTTGTGTTAAATTAACTAGGTAATTAAATATTAATAAACTAAATATGAATAAATGTAATAAACTGTAAACAATTTTTGCCAGTAATTACAAAAAATTTAAATATTTAAAAAATAATTGTTGGATTAAATAAAATGGTTATGAAAAATTATAAGAGGGGAAAAAATTCACAAATAAAGAAGTTCTATAAGAAATATATGAAGAGAAATAAGTCATTTATTCAAGAAATGCATGAAAAGAAATAAAACTTTACATTGATATGTATTCCCATAGTGTACTTTAATTGGTTCATCAAAAGATATATTATTGAACAATGTCCTCTCTCACATGTATTGTCTTCGAGTATGTTTTTATAGTAAATACTATAAAAATATCTGCAGTATTTTATGCACTTATAATGCAGATGTAGTTAATGTAAAGATGTTTGTAATGTAAAAATATTATTGAACATTTCCTGTACATGGATAGGAAATATGTGCAATTCAATCACTATGAATTAAAAAAAAAAAAACTTTGCGAGAAATAAGATCTTGCAAGAAATTAACATATTTAAAACTACACAAGAAATAAAGAAAAACTCCGCAAGAAATAAATTAGGGTACTTATGTATTATCGCAACCAGGTTGGCGCGATTTGTAAGTTTGATAAAAAAAAGTATGAATAGAAAGAAAATGTACATTTGTTAATTACAGATAATTTTTAATACAGTTTTTTATATTATTTTGTTTTAAAATATAAAATAGCAATTAAACCCTTCCGGTTTCGAATTTGAATAAGTTGCAGAGTTATTTTTTCGGCGGAAATCTTTTGGCTATTGCTTTTAGCATTGATTGAAAACCGTATTCGCCATAACCATGTACATATCGACTTATTTTTACTTAAAAAAACATCCCAGAATTGCACAAAAATGGCATTGCGCACACTCTTGACTTTATCCATGTACACTGCTATTTTCTCATAAATTACAAAAATTTGCACAAAAATGCAGGAAAATTTTGTGAATCTCCACATGCTCTTTTTACAAAACTACGTATAACACGTAGGGTTGTCGTAAGTAGGGTCACCAAATTTGGCAATTTATACGAATTTTGGCCTGGTTGCGTTAATACGTAAGTACCTAAATTAGTTTAAACCAGCTTACCAGAGATAGTGTTATGTGCCATTACATGAGGAGGGTGCATAATAATGGACCCCTTCTGTCATATTCTGTGTCATGTAAGTTCTGCAACACACTGATGTTCTTAAAAGTATAAAGGTTCTTTTTTTTAGGGTTCTTTTTAGTTATAGTTCTTCTTTTGCAACAATATTTTTAGCAAAATATTTCAACATTCCCAAATATATGTTTTTAATTATGTCTTCAACATAATGCCTTGATAAGCATATGTCTAAATGATTAAACAGATTCATTAACAATTTTCAACCATATGATAGTAATTAAGACACAATAACACGCCGAATAAATACTAATTCAGAAATCAAACAACAAAAATCAGCGTTATATTTACAAAGTTTTCACAGGACTAGTTTCGATGGTTTTACCGAACCACCATCTTCAGCTGCAAAACCGCAAATGAACAAGATAGGAAATAATGTTTAGATAAGATAAGAAAGCCTGGACAAGAATAAGCAAGTGGCGCCAGCTGTTGTTAAAACCAGGACTAAAACATAATTTCTTTAAAGTCCGAAGGCAAATTTGGATTGGAATTAGGATCGTTAACTAGAACAGAAAGATTTTTATGAATGTGAAATGCCTCTAGAAAATCCAGTTCTCCAATGGAAGATGTTTTTTGAATAATTTTGGCAGAAGAAAAACTGAAAGTGTGGTTTTCGGACCAACAATGTTGAGCAACAGAAGACTTCTGTGTTTCCTTT